CACTTCCTTAGCTCACATTCATTTCTGTTTTATTTTGTATTGTTTACTCACCTTTTTTTTTTTTTAAGATTTATTTATTTATGCATACAAGAACTGGAGTACAGGCCAGAGGTGCAGGAGGTAAGAGGATTCACCAGAGACAGAGTGGGGAACAGAACAGCAGAACAGGCAGACTGACTGAAATACACTGCTGAGGGGAGCAGTGGGCAAGACAGGAGAGGTCTTCTGGGCCATGTAGGTTATCTCCCTGGCGGGGGATCGAACTTGTGCTGCAGTAGTTGCCGAGAGCTTCATTGTGCTGTGTCTTAACCCTTTGCACCACCAGGGAGGCACCATAATTTTATTTTCTTGATTTGGGGACACATCACTACAATCTGCCTTGTTCTTTACATGGTGATCTCCTCTGTTTGTGTCTTGAAGTCCATTCTTGTTTTCATAAGGACAAAAATCATTGGATTTAGGGCCCAGTACAATCTTCTCTTGATCTAGTGTGACTTCAACTTAACTAATTAAATTCCATGAAGGTCAGATTCTGAGTTTCCAGGTGAATGTAGACTTGGAGGAGATAATAATCAACCCCATACAAGATCCTTTGCCCATTTTTATTTTTATTTTGTTTATTTATTTAAAAGATATATTTATTTATACAAGACCCTGGGTACAGGCCAGATGTGCGGGAGGGTGAGAGGATTCACCAAAGACAGAGTGGGGAACAGAACAGGCAGACTGATGAAATGCACTGCCGAGGGGAGCAGCGGGCCTAATAGGAGAGGTCTGCTGCACCATGTGGGCTGCTCCGGGGCCAGTGGGGATCGAACGGGCACTGTAGTGACTGCAGACAGCCTCACAGCACTGGACTCAACCACCTGCGCCACCAGGGAGGTGCCCATTTTTAAATTGAATTCCTTGCCTTTTTATCATTGAGTTTTAAGTGTTATGTTTAATATTTGCATGGTTTTTAAACTTTATATCCTATCCTACTGGATGTAGTGTTCAGCAACTTTCCCCCTTCAATATCATGCTTGTGAGTTTTATCCAGGCTAATATGTGTAACTCTAAAAATAAATGTGTAATACTAGTTTGTTTGGTTTGTTGCTCTCTGTTTCCCTTTCATTTTATAACCCAGTGCAACTGGCTTCCATCCTCATTGCTCACTGAAACTGTTCTTGTCAAGGTCATTGACACCCATGTTGCCAAATCCCAGGGACAATTATCTTATTGCTCCTCTCTCTGGTATCTCTTTGCTATTTTGACTATTCTTCCTTCTGGACTTCTCATCGCTGCTCCCAGGACACTGCTTTCAGTCTTCCTTGCTGGCCTCACTCAGCTTGGTCCTTTCATGTGGAGCGCCTTGGCTCTGTCATGAGCTCTTCTTTTCCCTCTATACACCTGGCCTTAGATTTCATCAATATATTTCTTTTTGGGGATCTATTGCTGCATACCAAGCTATTCTAAACTTAATGACTTAAAGCAACCATCATTTTATAACTCTTCCTGATCCTCTGGATGGATGGGGGCTCAGCTGGACAGTTGTGCTGTCTCACTAGGGTTGTTTCATGTGGCTGCATTCAGGAGGTGACAGGAGCTGGAATGTCCAAAACAGTTGAGTCACTCATCTTACACTTGGAAGAAACAGCTGGAATGTTGAGATGGCTGGACCTCTCTTCCTCCATGTATGTTGTCTCTATAACAGAGTAGCTGATTTCTCACATGGGAACTTAATGGTCTCAAAAGCACAAAAGTGGAGGTTGGGGCCTCTCCGGTGGTGCAAGGGGTTAAGCACAGCACTGTACAGCACGAATTTGATCCCTGGCCGGCCAGGGAGCTACCCACATGGTTCAGCAGACCTCTCCTGTCTCACCCGCGGCTCCCCTCAGCAGTGTATTTCAGTCAGTCTGCCTCTTCTGTTCCCCACTCTGTCTCTGGTGAATCCTCTCACCTCCTGCATCTCTGGCCTGTACCTCAGTTCTTGTATGCATAAATAAATAAATCTTTAAAAAACAGCAACAAATGAGGAGACTGATGCTGTAGAGGTTGAATAATTTGCCCAGAGCCTCACTTTATTCAGTAAGTGGGAGAACTAAGACTTGAGGCCTGGGGCTGTGCAGCCAGGCAGCCCTGATGCCCAAATCTTTGTGTCCAGCTGGTGCCCAGATGCCATCAGTGCACGCAACTATAATCTCTCACTGAGACCTCCCAGCAACTGCCCAACTGGCATCCCTGCCTCTGTCCAGGCCCCATCTAATCCATCCCTTGCTGTAGTCAGGAGAATCTTTCTGGAAGGAAAGTGGGTCATGGATCTTCTCTGCTTAAAGATTTCAGTGCTCATGAGATAAAATCTAATCTTTCACAACAGATGATAAAGTGCTTTACAAATTGGCCTGATGGTGGTTCCATAGGGGCATACTGGAAATTTCAAGGGGCCCTTTTGTTTATCACAATGATAAAGATGTGTCAGGCAACTGGTGGACAGGGGTCAGGTTTGCTAGAGAGCCATAATGGGAGGGAGGGATTCACCCAACCAAAAATTATCCTGGGTCCCACATGACTTCCGAGGTCCTACTGGCCATTCCATGTGAAAAATCTACTTAGTATCATTTGAGCCTAGAATCCATCTCTATTTTCCCTATACCCAAGGAAGAAAGGGACAGGTTTATTTCTGGTTTACCCCTACCATGAGGATGGAATCCTTTGGGGTCCCATCTTTACGAAGGGAAAATCTCCTATTAAACTCCGCTATGCAGGAGGCTCTGGGCTGTTTCCTTTTGCTATGAAACACTGACGAGCTCATGTCACTTGTCAGGCAGAGCCCACAGAGCCTGAGCCTCACCTGAGCAGCCCTCTGCCTTTATCTTGTTTCGCCCTGAAAATTTCTTATTTTTTTAAAAGATTTATTCATGCATGCAAGAGCTAGGTGTAGGCCAGAGGTGTGAGAGGATTCACCAGAGACAGAGCGGGGAGCAGAACAGGCAGATTGATTGAAATACACTGCTGAGGGGCGCAGCGGGCAAGACAGGAGGGGTCTGCTGTGCCATGTGGGTTGCTCCCTGGCTGGGGATCTAACTCATGCTGCAGTGGCTTGGCTAGCTTCATAGTGCCTCCACTTAACCCCTTGCGCCACCAGGGAGGCCCAAATTCCTTATTTTTATATCAATACATTTAAGACCTTAAAAGATTTCATCTAGGATTTTGGCTGTTTTTAGGGAGGAGGTCTCCCAGGTACTTAGTACTAGTCTCACCATGCTTACATGTGACAGTCTTCATAAAGCCCATGTCTATCTCCCCAAGTATGGATGAGATGTTCCTGTATTCCGTCCCAGTAGTTCTGCTCATCATACAGTGATGTTATAGAGAATGGTGGACTTGCATTAGCTACAGTGAGCAGGGAGTGCCCTCTGAGGAGGGGACATTTGCGCTAAAGCCTGTGAAATGAGGACAAGGCAGAGTGCAGACATTGCAAAGACCTTGAGGAACCACTTGATGTATTTCAACAACAGAAAGCAGGTCTCCAAAGGGTGTACTGAGCAAAGAGGGAACAGAATGGAGATGAGGTTGAGAAACTGAGAGTTTAGATCCATCATCTCCTTCTACTAGTCTCTCCCCCACCCTTCAGGTATCCAGGACTACATACCTGAAAATTTTTACCTTTACACCCACTGATCCCAATGCCTGGAATGTGTTCCCTGCCTTTTCTGATTAGTAAACAAATTGTACTCATCCTTCAAGGCCAGTTTACGAAACCTTCTTCCAGTCTTTAGACAGAATTAATCATTCCCTCGTCTGTCATCCCACAGCACATAAGTCCCCATGGTGCTAATCACCTGCTGATTTATATCTCAGCTACTAATTTACATGCCAGTCTGCCCACCACACCAGGAGCTCCCTAAGGGCACAGCCTCTGTGTTAGTCACCTCTGTAGCCATCTCTGTGCCTCGTGCTGTGTCTGGCCCATAGCAAGTACTCAGACACCTTGTGATATTCATTCTACTAGTGAGTGGCTGTGGAGCACTATTCAAGGCCAAACAGAAAGAAAACAAAAATAACTGTGGTTTATCACTTGCTCAACTCACTCCCTCAGTTGAGGCTTCCAATAACTCACTGTCGGGACAGGCACTATTAGCCAGGCCTTACACACAGGGTAGCTGAGGCCCCAGGGTAAACACAGCTAGGAAGGTGTGGGAACTAAGCAATTTTGTCCCCTTCGGATTCAGTGTAGGGATGGAGAGACTGAAAGAGCATTTTGATGATAGAAGGCAGTGGGGTTGGTTGCAGTGGAAAAATACTTCTGTGGGTGGACGAGAGCGATTTTTAGATAGCTGGGATGGAGTTAACAGCAGCTCCACCAGGGAGGGTACAGGATTTCTCTCCCTGCCCCCAAGCAGCTAGGCGTCCACAGCATCATTCTCCAGCCCTGGAAGCTGGTGAACCACCGGCCCGCAAAAGCTGGAAACGGGTATTCACAGGTGTTCAGGGCAAGTGGGTATGATGACGTTAATGATGACTTCGTAGGCAGGGGGCTGCCGCTCAGTTGCTATGACAACCGAGCTCGACTCTTGGGCCCTAGCAAGGCCGATGAGGTGGGTTCTTAGAGGAGGACCGGGTGGGAGGGGAGAATAGGCGCGCATGCGCGCGCACGAAGGGCTAAAAACCCGAAAAAAGTATATTCACAACCCTATCAAGCTCGGTGATTCTCCACCTCTGCAAATTGTTAGAACTACTTGCGCAACTTTAAGAGTCCCGATGCCTAGGCCGTAACCCAGACCAATCAGATAAGAATCTCTGGGAGTGGAATTCAGGCGTCGCAAATGATTTAACTCTTCCCAGATGACCCTAATTGCAGCCAAAGTTGCAAACTCTGCTTTCAGCGGGCAAACGAATTCTCGCGACCTTCCCAAGATGGCTGCCACGCGCCCTCTTCCTCGTTACGTACGTCGACTGGGGGGGCGGGCTTTCCAGAGGCGCATGCGTGTGGCGTCTCGTCGCTCCCCTGCTCCCGCCTCCTTTTTCCCCCGCCTCCATTTTGTTCGCGGACGCTGGGGACGGTGGGAGCAGATCCATTTCCGGGTTGGCAAAAGGGGCGGCGGTGGCGAAAAAGGGAGCTAGCCGCGGGGGGGGCGAGCAGACCGGGACGAAGCCGGATCGGAGGTGGCGGAAGATTTGCTCCCGGGGCAGCTGTGGCCAGGTCGGAAGGAGGCGGGAGAGGCCGGGCTCATCGCTGAGCTGACCTGCGGACCTGAGTGGGAGGGAGGGACGGGACAGGGGGACTGGGGCGGGGCTTGAGAGAGGGGGGCATTGGAGGTGGGGCCTGAGGGGGAGAGGGCTCTGGGGGCGGGGTCTGCGGGACGAGGGCCTAGGGGCTGGGGCTGGAGATCCTGGACGAGAAGGGGGCGTGGAGAGTCTTAAGTGGGGAGGAGTGGTCGGGAATTGTGGTGCGAGCTCGGACTGTGAAAATGGGAAGGGAGGCTATTGAGAGACAGGAAATAAAGGATCCTGAAGGGTTGGGTAAGGTGAGTAAGAAGACTGATCAGGGTGAGGAACGAGGTAACCGTGTGCAAAAAGGGAGATGGGGAGGGAGGACCTGTTGGAAACAAGTAATTAACAGGATGCCCTGGGTAAGGAGACCTCTGTGACATTTTGGGGATGGAGTTGGGTGCAGGCAATGGTTAAGATGAGTCGGGAAACTGCATGCACTAGAGGGAATCGTGAGAGCTTTAGTTGAGAATGAATCAGGATGGAATTAAAGGTTGGACTGAGTTCAGGGGTTGGAGTGAAGTGAGGAAGATGGAAATCTTGAAGTGTTAAACGTGAGCATTGTATCTAGTTGGGTTACTAACCAGAAAGGATGATTGTTGAAAGTGATGAGCTGGAAGAAGCTGGTGTGTATTGGAATTCATATTTTTAAAGGGGTTTAAATAATCCTTTTGGGTTCCCCCAGCATCCACCTCCTTGTTCATGCTGTTGTTTTGACTTTAAAGTTTCTGTTTCTGAATGACTTATTTAATGTTTTGGTGTGTTTTTTCTCCTTTTCCAAACCAAAAGGGAAATCAGAATTGTTCTCACACACTTAGGGATATACTAAGTAACTTTGAAGTAATTCGTTAAACTCTTTTTTTTTTTTTCTCGTTTGAAATACAGGTTTGGTTCCTTTCTGCCTCTAAAAGATTGTGTTAACCAAATGGGAGCTTTAAAGTGGTTGCAAAGAAATGGTCTCCGAAAACAGTATTGAAATAATCATGTTTAGAAGACATGGTTTTGTCAGTTTCTTCCTCTTGGCTTTAGTGTGTGTGCGTGCCCTGTGCTGAGGAAGAGTGATTCTGATTTAGTACATGCCTAATTTTTAAGCTTTTCTCAGTCAACTTTTATTTTTTAGTAGCCAAAAATTTCATATTGTGTTACATTGTATTGGCTGCCATCAAGACGGGCATGAATGAGGTCAATTGAGGAAGAAATAAAAAAAATGCAATGTTTTCTGTTCTAGCCGCCAAGGTATTCTGTTCTTGACAAACACTGACTTTCTTCATTAACTCTTTGAGAAGTCACTGTAAAATAGCAGTTTAGATAGGTGGGACTTTAACTCTTGTCCCAATGCCGGTTGGTGGGGAGCAGTGTGCTCATGGATAGTTTTAACTTCTTTATTATTAATTCTTTGAAATCTTGACAGTTTTGGCTTTTTCTTTGGGTGTAATACTCTAGACACTTTACACATAGGTGAACTTGTTTATCTTAGAAGAAATGATCCTGAAACTCTTGGCATTTCTGAGATGTGATGTGGATTTGCTTAAGAGGGGGCAGTTTCTAATCCTACCTCATACTTGATATCAGAATAGTGTTTACCTTAGTTGGTACTGATTAGTTGTGTGATGTTAGCTCAAAGGTGAAATGCAGGTGGAGGTGAAAGGTGTTGAGAACAGTGGAGTTTTCAGGTTTTACTGTTGGCTTTTAAGAAGGGAAGAGAGGAATTGAGTTCCTGTTGAAGATTGTGAGATGTTCTTTCTGGACTTTGTGAGTTCTTTGATTGGGAGAGTTACCTGGTATACTGGAGGCTATTTTCACATTGCTCTGAAGTAATTCTGAAATTTATAGGTTGCTGGTTCATGCTGTTTCATGAAAACCATAGTGTTCATACTAACCCCGGGAAGAGCAGTTTATGAAGTATAAAATGCTTGATTGGGGGTAAAAACTGCTTAATATTTTGTTATCGTTTCAGCCTACAGTGTGCTTTATGGTGTATTTTATTTTATTTTAAGATTTATTTATACAAGCACTGGGTACAATCAGAAGTGCGGGAGGGTGAGGGAATTCACCAGAGCCAGACTGGGGAGCAGAGCAGGCAGAAGGACCGAAGCACACTGCTGAGGGGAGCAGCGGGCGGCAGGAGAGGTCTGCGCACCATGTGGGACCCTCCTCCGGTGGCCGGAGAGCAGCCGGGGATCGAACCGGCGCCGCAGAGGCTGCTTCACAACCCAGCGCTCAACCGCTGCGCCACCGGGGAGGCCCTTTATGGTGTATTTTAAAGAGTACTTTAAAATAAGTTATGGAGGTTCTCAACTCTGGGCAGGCATTTGGTATAGCCTGCTTCTTTAACAGAATGTTTTTCTGTTGCTCTGCTAGCACCAGTGGTAAGTGGAAAACAGAAAATTACACATTTCTCCCCTCTTTTTAGTTTCTGGTGGACATCTTGTCTGTGTCACAGTTTGATACCACCAAATTGAAAGGATTCTTGACTGTTGCAAATGGGGAGGGTGACAGAAACTGAGCTGGGTTTCCTGGCTCAGAGAATGAGCTCTGTCAAAAGAAAGAATAGTTGCAGAGACACAAACTGGGACCTTGAAGCTGTGACTAACATTTTGGCACCATGCATCCCTTTGCCAAATAACTTCTTTTCTTCTTGAGTGTGATTGTTGATCTCCTCCTCAAAGTAGGCTCTTGTTGCTTCTGTTCTTCACACAGCTCCCAAACAGAAGCTGGCAGAGTTCTGGTTGACTGACTGTCTCTTGAGGGATATGCCCCGGATTAGACTACATGGGGTGTTCCATGTCAAAATGAGGTTCATTGGCAGATCCTGAGACCAGCTCTGCAAGGAAATAGAGGCAGCCCTCTGCTGCACTCCTTTATACTTCTTCTCAATTCAGATCTGTTTCTTATTCACCCGGGCGTTAAATGCAGAATCATTGCCTTTGCCTAGCTTTGAAAGTCCAGGGCATTTGAGGAAGAGAGAATATTTCTGGCTTTTTTCACTCTCCCTTAAGCCTTTGAGCTTAGGGAGCCACAAGCTAAATTTATGAACCTCTTGGTTTTACTACAGAGGGACATTTAAAACAGCAAACTAAAACTTTATGGAGAAAAATAATGTCGGTAAGGGGGAAAGGCGTTACTTTTACTAATAATCTGTGTCACTCTTAGTACCCTTAAGGCTTTGGCTCAACATGAGGGATAAGCCTATAGAGGCAAATAAATTATTGAAAAGGGGACCCGGAAATTGGCTTCTAAGGTGCCATTTAGGCTTGGCAGTTATAACAGTTTTGAGTGGCTGTACACTATTTAGTTCTATTTAATAAATTCGCTTTTCAGTGGTTCTACCTAGTAAATAATAAACCTTTTGTTTCTCAGGGGATAATTGATTGAAGATAACTGTGTTCCCTTAGTTCCATGGGGTGGATTATGAAGATCATTTCTTGCAATGTTTGACACTGGTCTTTGCAACATCAGCGATAACCCCCAAACAATTCCTCTTGTTGGCGACTTGGATTCAGCTTTCTCTTGGCACCATTAGTACAGTTTTCAGTTCCTAATATTCAGGTTTGGGAAACTAGCAGATCCATAGGTTTTTACCCAGTCTATGCCTTTGATTGCGGCCACAAATAAGATTATTGGAGTTGTGTTTAGTCTCAGATCTTTCTGTTCTGAAGAGTGTCTTGAAATTTGGCAAATCTATATATCTAAGGAATGTGTGTCGATTTCCTTCCCGTTCTTAAAATTGGTTTTCAAAAAACGGTTCCTTAGACTTTATGGATTTAGATTAAGCTCCATTTAGATTTTGAGGCTGCTCAATGAAAATAACTTGCTCTAAGTCAATATTTATGATATTTCTTCGCTCGTCAACTGTCTATGCTTACAGAAATGCTGAGTCCAGTAATACCCACTTTTTGTTTCTCCAGTAACCCCCTGTGACTGTGAAAACATTCTCCATATGTCCAGAATGGGACAAATGGTTGTTTAAAAAAAAAAATTTTCTTCTAAAGTGGTACAGTCTAGTATAGGGGTAGGATGTCCAAGATTTATGGATAAGTGAATTTTCCTTCTTTTACTTCCACTCTCCCAGTGCTCAGCTAGTAGGTAGGATGTTTCTCATTGTAATCCAGGTATGAGATACTTAATGAGCTCTTTTTTTTTTTTTTTTTAAAGATTTTTTTTTTTTTAGAGGCATGTTTTATTTATTTATTTTATTTGTTTGTTTGTTTTGTTTATACATGCACTGGGTACAGTCAGAAGCGCGGGAGGATGAGAGAATTCACCAGAGCCAGAGCGGGGAGCAGAGCAGGCAGAAGGACCGAAGCACACCGCTGAGGGGAGCAGCGGGCGGTAGGAGACGTCTGCGCGCCATGTGGGACCCTCCTCCGGTGGCCGGGGAGCAGCCGGGGATCGAGCCGGCACTGCAGAGGCCGCGGGCAGCTTTGCAACCCAGCGCTCAACCGCTGCGCCACCGGGGAAGCCCCTTAATGAGCTCTTTCTGTCACTGCTTCAGAAATAAAGACGGGATCAGGCCTCCCTGTTGGCGCAAGGGGTTAAGATGCAACCTATGAAGATGTCCACAGCCTCTGCAGCACGAGTTTGATCCCTTGGCTGGCCAGGGAGCAACCCACATGGCACAGCAGACCTCTCCTGACTGGCCTGCTGCTCCCCTCAGCAGTGTACTTCCATCAATCTGCCTGTTCTGTTCCCCACTCTGTCTCTGGTGAATCCTCTCACCTCCCCCCACCCCACACACCTCTGGCCTGTACCCTAGCTCTTGTATGCATAAATAAATAAATCTTAAAAAAAAAAAAAGAAATAAAGCCAGGACTACCTTTAGCATGAAGGACAGTTCTAGGTGGAGGGAATAGCATAGGTGAAGGAAAAGAACATGAGGTCCTGAGGAGGGAAAGAACATGCTGTTTTGAGAAATTGAAGGAAGTTCCAGTG